CACTGTCCCACCTGTGGGGGATGCTAACAAAACTCCACAGACTTTGAAGTTATTACCTTAATTAGTGGTCTCCATTATGAAGTTTCTGGGCAATGGCACACCTAAAAAATGAGGATGAATTTGTGCCCATACTCTTAACCCAAACACTACCCCAATCCAAAATGGGAAATAGCACCCATATTCTCCACCTGCCCCCAAGTTCACACAAGAGTCAGCAGCATGTGTAAGGCTAAAGCCTAGGTATATCAGCTAGAAGTTCTCTTTAGTGGCTGGTAAGAGAGACTAGACATAATACACACACACAGAAAAAAAAACAAAAAAAAAACCCCACAATGGAATGTTATTCTAACTTAAGAAGAAAACAATCCTCCATTTGCAGCAACATGGATGGAGCTAGAGGGTATTATGCTCAGTGAAATAAGCCAGGCGGAGAAAGACAAGTACCAAATGAATTCCCTCATTTGTGGAGTGTAACAACAAAGCAAAACCGAAGGAACAAAAGAGCAGCAGACTCACCTACTCCAAGAAAGGACTAGTGGTTACCAAAGGGGAGGGTTTGGGGAGAGTTTGGGGAGGGTGGGTGGGGAGGGAGGGAGAAGGGAACTGTGGGATATCATGATTGGTGCACAGGGTGTGTGTGGGGTCACGGGGAAGACAGTGTAGCTCAGAGAAGACAAATAGTGACTCTGTGGCATCTTACTACACTGATGGACAGTGACTGCAATGATGTATGGGGAGGCTTGATAATAAGGGTGAATGTAATAACCACCTTGTTTTTCTGTGAAACCTTCATAAGAGTGTATGTATATCAATGATACCTTAATAAAAAAAATTAATGGTATCCATATTTTCCCGTGCCTAAGCTTGTTGTTTTAATTAGTTATGAATCTCATTTCTGTTTTCCAGTGTGGAACTAATTAGTATTTCCATTTGATTTTTTATCAGGGAGTAGACGCTGACAACCACATTATGGAGAAACCTCTAGAACTGTGCTGCCAGTAGCCATTAGTCACACTGAGCCCTTGAAAAGCGGCCAGTCTGAATTGAGATGTGTTATCAATGTAAAATACATGCAAGATTCAAAATCTTAGCATGAAAAGAAGAATGTAAAATGTCTCATTGATAATTTTTATATTAATGTTGGTATTAAAAGCTTAGACATTTATATAAAAGATATTATTAAAATTAACTTCACTTGTTCATCTGTTTTACTTTTTAAAATTATGTTTAAAATACCTATAATTACTCAAAATACTAGAGGCTCACCTCTAGGACAATGTTCCTCCAGGATATTAGTGAATTAGCAAGCACATTTCTGTAAAGTGGAATCTGGAATATGGAACTCTGTCACAAAAGGTCTTTGAGGAGTTAGCAGGCTTGATCAGAGGACACAATTTATGCACAAGGCAAATATGGGTTAGAATAGAGAGTATCAAGGCACCGGGACCAGTCAGAAGTTTGATCTTGGAGGAATAACTGTCTCTACATAACTCATGCTTCCTCAGCTGCAAAACAGTCACTAATCATAAGTGCCCTATCCCCTTTCCAAAGGCAGTGGAAGGCTTCAACGAGATGAGACACAAAAAGACTTTCTCACCATGGAAAGCAATACATTAGCCAATTATCACAAAACATGGAATGCAAACAGAAAAGATGTTCTAGACTGAACAACGGTGGTGACTACACCTTCTAAAGAACTTTGAGAAAAGGGATGATCACAGGCCAAAGGGGATCATCAGTGATGACTCTAGAGGGGGTGGGCCCTGCGCTGCCTTTCAAGGATATGTAGGATTTAGAAGGCTGTGCAACTTCAGTGAATGGAAAAACAGTTCCCTAAGTTAAACCCAACATAGAATTTTGGTATCTTGGCCCAAAAGAGTTAGGTTCCAGGGAAGGAAGTTTAGGGTGGCTGGACCAAATGTAACCTTCCAGGTTACTGCCTCACAGAAAATATAACTCCTTAAAGATTTTTTCTACTTTTCAAATTAGAATATCACTAACAATTTAAACAAACTAAATAGCATAGACACATTAAATCAGTTTGATTCCCTTCTAAGCTCAAAACCATAGCCTTATTCTAGAATTCTAGAGATGATAAGCATTATTTGGGGTGAGCAGATTTATGACATAACCTTTTGGAATAAAAAAGGTAAGAAACTGTTCTCTTAGCACAGTTAATACTCACTGTTTCAGATGTGAAAGTCAACTTCACAATATTTCTGATACATAAAAGAAGCTGTATCCACCTTTCTGAGTTTTCATTGTAATATCTTCACTTGAAATGACATTAGCCTTGGTATTATTTTAGAATAAAAGCTTACTACAGATGCATAAGTTTGCATAGTTTTTGAGAGATATTATATTTTGGTCTTGGTAACATTTTCAGGTAAAGTATAGAAAACAAATTTGCACTTTTCTTTTTTAGATGCATGCTTTTTATTAATAAAAAGCAATATATTAAGGTGATCAATTATTGCAGTTTAAGTACAATGTAGGAAAGGCCAGTTTAACGAAGTACAAATCTGAAGGGCTCACTACAGTGCTTTCATTTAGAATGCACAAGAGACAGGAATTCATTAACTTCAGCATAATTAAGCAAGGACATTTAAGACCACATTAGTAGACTGATTTGTACTGCCACACAAAGACAGTGTGTGGAAATCACTGATCTGTAGAGACCAAAGATGTAGATTTTAGAATGGCTCTGTTACTGACCTTTTAAAGATACAAGGCATTCTATAAACATTGACTTTCTTGATATAATTCAACATGAGGTCTCATGGAGTAAATAAAAAGGCTTACCCATGTTTTTCTCTCCATAAGTTTCAAAAATGAGTAACTTCTGAAGTAGTTTCAATCTTTTGTACTGAATTAATGGTGAATTGAGGCTTTTTCAAATTAAGGCTACTTTCCTTATTGCAGTAATTACAATTTTAAAGTGCCTACAAGAACACAGTGTATTTAACCTCCCAAGCAATTTACCATTGACAACTAACAGGAGAATATTTATTGGGTTCCTACTATGTTCCAGATCCTGTGATAAGTACTTGATATAGCTTAGCTCTTTTAATTCCTACAACAATCTATTTACATAGTGCCTGCATTACACAGATGAGGAAATCAAAGTGGAGAAAGATTATTTTGTCCAAAGTCACACAATCAATAAGTACACAGGCATATGTCAGAGATACTGAGCGTTTGGTTCCAGACGACTGCAATAAAGCAAATGTCCCACTAAAGTGAACAAGAAAAGTGAGTCAAATTAATTTTTTGGTTTCCCAGGGTACACAGAAGTTATTTTATACTATACTGTAGCCTAATTCAGTATACAATAGCATTATGTCCAAAAAATGTACATACCTGAATTTAAAAATACTCTATTACTAAATAATGCTAGCCATCACCTGAGCTTTTAGCACGTTGTAATCACTGATCATAGATTACGGTAACAAATTGCATAATAATAATGAAAAAATTTCAAATATTTAAAGAATTTCCAAACTGTGACACAGATACATGAAGTGAGCAAATGCTGCTGGGAAAATGGTGCCAGCTGACTTGCTCCATGCAGGGTTGCCAGAAATTTGCAAAGAAAAAAAAAATGCAGTATCTGCAAAGCGCAATAAGGAGAAGCATGCTTATACTAAAGGCTGGACTCCAATCACCTTTGTCTGGCTCCAAAGTTTATGATACAAAATTATAAGGTTCAACAACTAGGCAACATGTAAGTAAGCAAGCCAATGTGATCTATCACTGGCCTTCTAGTCAATTTGCTATAATGTATAAATACACTGTTTTTACTATTAATGTAGCAAATAAAAGTGTAAATGCTAAGTGTTTAATTAGCATCATTTAGAAAATTATAATTGCATTTCTATCATTTACTTAAAGTAAGAAGCCATAAGAACCCCTTGCCAAAGAAAATACAAATATTTTATAAAAAGTAAGTGGCTAAGTGGCTAATACTCATTCTCTAGCATTTTCTGAATGTCATGGCTTTATCAGATATTGTATCTTTAGGTCAACAGCTTTTGTTTTAAATTATTGTACTACTGCTATTATGTTATATTTACTGTAAAACTTCAGACTATACAGATTATAAACCCCTTATATACAAATATCATGTCTCTGAATTTCCATGTAGCATATAATAGATGCTCGGTAACTATCACTGATGAACGTTTGCTCCAGTAAAGATAGTAAGTCATCAAAATGCTTAGTTACGCACTGATGGACTGAGGACCCAAATTTTGCTAATTCATAAAATGGTTTATATTCCCCCTCTCCCTCCAACCCACTGGCCTATTACTACCTCTTCTTTCTCTGCTCAGTGTGGCCCTTCGGGTATCCAGCCCTTCAAGGATTCTCCCATTAACAATGTCCTCTTGGTCAATAATAGAAAAGAACTCCAGCTGAACCCAGTGACTATCATAATGCTGTACACATCTTGCAATTAAAGGTATATTTTACATGTCTACTCTACCGTATGAGAATACCTTAATCTAGGAAAAACTGGTAAAGCACACTTACCATTTTTTAGACCTCTGTTAGAGACTTTGATTGGATTGCTATGGCAACTTTAGATTTTATTTTGATTTAACTACAGTTCAATAAACAAGAGCTCCAATAAGCTCTGGCTCCAAATGAGCTAGAACTCCACTCAGGAGCTGATTCAAGGAAACCAGTAAGTTAAGTTGTCTGGTTACCTGTGCTTCCCCACTATTCATTTTACAACTGAAAGCCATAGTTCTGGATCAAAGAATAAATGTCTTTCCAGCTTTATGCTGCAAAATTCTTAAAGAGATGGCATTTTAAAAAATCCTATGTATATCTGATACATCTTTTAAGATTACTATACATACTATGTATCTTTTAAGATTTTTCACACTCAAGCAAATACTGAACATTCACCAGCTTGTTAAAATGTCAGAAATATTCTTCTTCATTATTTTATATTCTCAAAATACAAAAGAAAATGTCCAATTGGATAAAAAACTTACATTGTTAAAAATAACATTCTCTTGGGGCGGAGCCAGGATGGCGGCATGAGTAGAGCAGTGGAAATCTCCTCCCAAAAACACATAGAGCTATGAAAATAAAACACAGAAAAATCTTCCTAAAATAGAGACCACAGGACACAGGACAACATCCAGACCACATCCACACCTGCAAGTACCCAGCGCCTTGCGAAGGGGGTAAGATACAAGCCGCAGCCCGGCAGGACCTGAGCGCCCCTCCCCCCGGCTCCCAGCGGGTGGAAAGAAACCAGAGCGGT